AGGCTGAAGAGGTGGCAGGACTTGAATTGCTACAAAGTATTGTTAATCATCAGAAAAGCAGCTTTCTGAGACTTCTGCATAGCAACACATCAGTGTGTTTTACCAGCCTTTCCTACTGTCATGCCTGGGATTAGTGATATAGTTCAGGAGCTCCATTGTGCCCTTTCATATCCTCCAACACTAAGCCTCTCTATGAAGAAACGAGACCGTCTTGTTTAAATAATTACTAAAATGAAGTGCCTTCTCATCCACCTTTCCATATGATCTCTTGTCTCCTGCACTAAAGAGTGCCCTCTTGTGGTCCTTTTCTCTTTGAAGTACCTTGGGCTACTTACAGTAAAAGCCACCAAATCCTGTCATTATTCGTCTCATTGCTTGGCCCCGTTCATGGGATTAGGTCCAGGAAAGAGAGGTCTATCATAAGCACCCTGTAAGGCTTTAAATAGCTCTTCTTCTTCTGAATTTGCTTTTGATGACACTTCCATGTGGTGTTCCTCCCCACCACCCCCAGGAATTCCAGTAAGCACGAACTTTCCACAAGTATCAGAAGAGTATTCTTTGGGTTTGCCATGATGATTTATTTTAACTTAAAGCCTATTTGCTAGACACAGGTTCTGAATTTCCTAATAGTACAGGTCACCAGGAATGTACACGGTTTTGACTGTGCTGTCAGACTGGTGAGTGCAGGGTGGCATTCTGTGGGCTGTCATCATAGCAGTCAGAGATCATATGAAGACAAGAGAATAATGCATATCTGCAGATGTGCTGGAATCAGTTGCAAGGCCTACTTTAAAACCCCAGTTTGATTTCTAGCAATTATGGAGATCTGTACGGATGGGGTATAGGTGCAAATCCTGGGAAAGCTCTGTAAAATAATAGGTATTTTAAGAGATTAATGTCAAAAGCCAAGGCTGTAACTCAATCATGTAAAAGATGCATTTACAACACTTTGCTTTCATGATTTCCAGGGAATTTTCTCAACACCTTAATCACCACAGATCCACCATAGCTGTTTGGGCCTGTGCTTCTACGGGTTGGCTTAATTTCTAATCCCTCTATTCAAAATACTGCCTGGTGCCACCAGGAGGTGTCCGTGTGCTGTTTATTGCTTACTTCCCGAGGTGCTTTCATTTTATTTTTCGGAGAGGAGGGCTCCATAACAACGCCACAGTCATAGTTTCTACAGGATCATTGCTATTACTCAGCGTTTCTATTTGCACTTCCAAACAAGTAAGGATGTTGTGTTTGTGTCCAGAGAGAGTTCTTAATTCTTTCCCTGGATGAAAAGAATTATAGATGAAAAAGACCTGTTAAGTCATCCATCTTCTTCCCTTACAGCGTGCCCTGTTCTCTGAAGTATATTGTGTAATGTATTGAGGGTATCAGTCTGTTGCTAGGGAAATGATGACTATAATCAGATGTTACACAGTCTACATTTTGACTGCATTGCAGGATCAAAGATAGGCTGTGGAAATGAAGATCTTTTACTGAAACATGGGAGTTGCATCCTATTTGCACTTATGTACAACTTTCAGGATTAGTAAAACGAGATGAATGTATACTATAAAAAGCTAAATATCATACAGTACTTTCATGTTGCATATTCCTATTTGGCTTATGAAATTTAATCAGAAAATATATAGTATATTTTCAGTGTAAATATAGGCATAAAATACATACAGATCCATAGGACATTATAAATGTCCTCCATGTCCAAATAACTCATAAAGACATCCTATTAAAATGCAGCCTATTTATTACCATATTCATTACCATATGCATATTCAGAAGCATACATTAGAGTGAAATCTGATTTAATTTGAACATCAGATAGAAATAAATAATTAGTTCAGAAAATATGATCAGCCCTGCCTGGTGGTAAGATGTATGGTTCAGATGTATTCCACAGGGGCTGCTGATAATCCTGTTCTGACCAAGGTAAAATTCAATGTCCTACCACAGTCTCAAGCACTACCTGCAGATGCTGTATGTGAGCGAAGTCACTGTGGAGGAGTGACACTTTTTTTTGTTGCTGTACATTCTGATTGACTATTTCTGCTTCCAATTGCATCTTGTATCAGCATGTGTTTTGATAAAGAGCATACCATCCTTGGTGAGATCAGCCTGAAAAGGTTTTCCAAGTACAATGGTGTGTTGTATGGGTTATGGCCAAACTTCTTAAAACGTCAAGAGCTTTTTAAGTTTGCCCAATCTAATTTAGTAGTCATAGTTCACCAAGGGTATGGTTTTCAGGCTACTTGTGTAAAACCCCAAGCTTAATGCCCCTGACCCCAACCTCTCCCTCCCCAAATTTACCCATAGTCTTGGTCTTTTATATTCATCTGTAGCTATAACATCATTCCACCAAAACCCTAGCATGGCTTTTTCCAGTAGTTACTGGATTCTTTCCCCCAGGTGACAGCAGCCAAGGATATTTTCGAATAGCTCCTGACCCCAATGACTCATATATGTCCTGTTTCATTGACAGAGAATTATTAAAGCATCCTATAGTTATCATTACTGTACATGAGTTTCTAAACTTTCACAGTACATGTTCTTACATCAACAGCCAGCTAAATCACTAAACTGAAAATGACAACAGAAATCATGTTACAGGCAAGTGAGTGGTATGAACTACTAGGAAACAGTGAAAACGCCACTGAAAATGAATGATAAAATAAATGCACTGTATTTGTGTTTATCTTTGCTCTCTGCTTTTATGAGTTATTAGTATTCTAACTCACTATAAATTATTCACACACAACAACAGGAACCTGTTATCCTATTTGTACAGACCACTGTTTGACCATTATTTCTCTCAGACATATATTGGCAGCATGTTACATAACTAAAATAATGGAAATGTAACAAACATTCATATTGACCATCTCTGTCCTTATTCTCCCACAGGAAAGAATAGAATTCTGCTTGAGCCTGTACAGAATAGTGAGAATTTTCTGGCTACTACCTCCATGTCTGTATTTTTCTTGTTAAAAGTTTCTGCTTTTCAAAGAGTATCTTCTCTTAGTTATCTAGTACTGCTTTCTTATTTATCTTAGAAATCTCATTCTTTTTCATTAGAACCTGGTGATTCTCATTTGTCTCAAGGAAAAGGGGCATAGATTTATGTGTGCTTCAGTTCTGGAGCTCTGTTGAAAACCTGAAGTTGGTTCTGAAGTCAAAATATCACCCAAGTTAAACAATTTATCTTCTTTTTAGTGAAGACCAACGAATCTGTCCATGATATGATAGAGGAAGCTATTTTCTGCATTGGGCTGCACCTGTCTTACTATTAAGAAAAGATAACCTCCTTATATTGCTGGCCTATCTTCTTCAATCCACACTTTCTTCCAGGCTTTATTGCTTCTCTCATGCTGAGTGAGAACTTTGAAGCAGATCCTCCTTTGTGTACTGAAAAAAGATGAAGAGAAACAACTTTTCCACTCCGAAGACTTCAGTCAGTTAAATATACAGAAAATCCAATATCCATGTGTATCCCAAATCCATATCCATATGTTTCTAGGTATTATTTTACAAGGGAAGCACAAGACAAAAAATAAACCCCCAAACAACCAGGAAGAGAGGCAGAGCAGAGCAAGAAAACAAGTCGGAGCGAAAATATGGCATTCTAGCATAGAAATACTACTGAGGTTAAGGTGAACTTTGCCAAAGTAGGGGCTATAGTACTGTGCTCAGTCTCAACAGCAGCTCGCAGTCTTTCTTTTGTACAAAATTCTATAAAAAAACTATAAATACTAAGTACACCTGGAATTCTTCACCATTCAGCTAAGGAAAGAATTCACACCACAGGAAATTCCAGCTCAACCACTTTGGTAATAGCTACCTCCTTCTGGGCACACGATAATTTTATTATCCATTTGCATGAAATCTAACTGCTCATGACCCGTCACTCACAGCAGGATATAATTTTTCCTACATTAAATTGTGGAAAAAACATGGCAAGAGAAACAACAGGGATGAGTAGCAGGTATACTGACTTTTATTTATATTTATTCAATAGTTGTATGGAAGTTCATGGTGAATTTCTGACTTAAAATGACAGTTGATGAAATAAGGGTATGTGTGTACTTGCTGTTGTTTAACAGAAGCTTTTTGAAGCACATGGACAGCATCAATAGAAATAAGCAGGGAAAGAAAAAAAAAAAGCCAATCTCTCTCTCCTGTTCTATACTCTTTGTGTTTCAAGTGGATGGATAATCTAAACCCTGCAAGTGCAATGCTTGCAAACAGAGTCATACGTTTTATTACAGCAAGAAGCATGTAAGTCCAGAGACTATTTTTCTGAAGTGACAGGCCTGGCAAGGTGAAGGAAGCACTGAAAACATACAAATAGAGAGAAAGCAAAGCAAACAAAACACCACCACAAACCCCATGAGTCAGACCTTTAGGGACTATTAAACGGATAGCTCAGCTCTAACTGTTGAGTTTATATAGCTTTTGGAGAGATCTAAAATAATCCTGGATTAAACAAACATTTAAATATTTTACCCTTCATGAAAACAATAAAATATAAAGATAGTGGAACAGGAGCGACAGTAACAGGCTTACTGAAAAAGATAACTAGCAAAGGGAAAAACAACCCATTCAAAGTCTGATTCTACCATTAGGGTCCCTGTTATATGATGCACTTACTCAGAAGTAAAGGTGTGACTGTACTTGAACTAGCTCTTTTGTAATTGCTTGGGTAACAGTGCTTAAGGTGCAGTGCTGTGATTTGGAACAGACTAACCCCATGTTTACATGAAGTGTGGCCTGCATATAGAAATATCCCGAATAAAGAGAGCAAGGAGAGTCCAAAAGTGTATGAGTGCTTACTTTATCCCTCTGGGGATGAGGAACATAAACAGCCTTTTACTCCACTAAAATTAACAAAGCTATTTTTCATCACAGAGAGATGTGTTTTAGACAGCACCGAAGGACTCCGTAGTTGTTTTAAAAACAAAAGAAAATGAAGAGAAACAGAAGAAACCAGCACAAAATAAGGAAGAAAGGCTGAAATGAATTTTATTTCACAACACAGAGGAATTAAGAAGGAAAGTGTACTGAAATAAAAAGCACTGAAGGAAAATAAGGAAAACCAACAATTTAATGTACTGTAATTATTTATTCCACTATTGCCTTTTCCCATGACAATTTATTGATGATGTTTCATGGACCATCAATGAAGTAACACTATAAAAAACCCTAGAATCTTATTTCCTTCTGGTGTTTGTGCTAGATTGATAGTAACTAGTTCATGACAAAGGGGCAACCAGTTCAGCTTGAAGACTTGATGCAAGAGCAACGGGAGGGAAAAATAATTAAAAAAGAAAGATTAGTAATATTGTTTTAAGTTTGAAAGGAACATCAAGTGAAACAAATAAATAATTAGTTTAAGGCTAACAGTATTTTCAAAGCAAAAGGACTACTTCTGTTGCCAAGAAGATAGGGCATTTGACAGCTAATAAGACAGCGAGGCATTCAGCTTCCAAACAATAAAAGGTGAGAGTTAATATTACACTAATGAGCCACAAGCATACTGCTGGCTTGTTTTTTATTAACACTAATAAATGAGCTCATAATACTGATCAGAAGTGTTTGCTTTTTCTCCACACATCTCACAAAAGAATTTCAGGTGACAAGTACTATGATACATATGGTAGAAACAAACAGCTGTGGCCACAAAGATGTTTTGTTAACTGATGACTAATATATTCAAGAAGCAATCACACTATCATTAGTAAAAGTTTACAAACATTAAAAAGTGCATAACATTTGAAACCAACAACAACACAAAAATATATATTATATATATACTATATATAAAGTGACATCACCTCCTGTTAATAAAAGAAAACTAATCTTCTGACTTTGTGATTGGTGCTTATGTGATTGCCATGGTTTACTAGTCAGTCTCTCTCTTTACTCACCTTAGTCACACAGAGGTGTGGCTGCCCATTTTGCTTCATATATGGTCTTGTCTATTGGGGCAGGATGGGGGGAGGACATCAATCAGCATAGCTACTGCAAACTAGGTTATTAATTTGTAGATGTTTCAAGTAGTCTCCTGGATGGACAAGCTATCCTGGTATTTCAAAGAAGGTCCAGGACTGTCATTTTGGAATAAATGAAATGGGAAAAATCCAGTCTTTTGGGTGCTAGATGCAAAGTCTCTCATTTCCATTTCCTCCTAGCCAAAAGGCTGCTGAGGCAGCTTCTAGCACTTGGCTGTAACCTGGTGCATCAGTTAACAGGCTACTGGCTCTGCAAACTCAACAGCCTGATCAACTGAGGCAAAGGCAAGGAATAGAAAAAATACTCTCCCTACGTGGATCCAGCCCATGATCCACTAGCTGGGCTATCCCGCAATCTAAAACTTATTCCAGAATACGTTAATTGGCAATAACCTATGCCAGTTATTTTCCTGTGTGTAAACAAGGCCCATCCTTAAGATGTGAACCAGGAAAATCTCTAGCACCATGGAATCTGTTTGAATTTTAACCTATATAAGGCTATAAATGTATTCTTAAAACTACCTTAACAATAAAATACTTGGACTAACATTTTAAAAAAATATCTCGGAGAAAGATTAAGAAATTGGGAATAAAATTAGAAAAATGGGGAAGAAGAACATAAAATATTTGAATTTGAGTCTCTGATAAGCAACTAGCTACAGGCAAGTGGCAAAACTGTACCAAGGACACAAAACACGCTGAAGTATTCACATTAACAAATCATTTTGAAGGCTCATCTAATAGCAAATTAGAGGGATGCTGAATCATTTCAGTTTAGGCATAATCAATTTAGCAGTTGACGTTTTAAATCTATCATGTGCACATCACCACATTATGCAAAATCCCAGCCCTTTCAAAACGCGTGGTAGAAAAATTCACAGTAACAGAAATATCCTTCATAAGCAGTTGAGAAGGGGCAGTGTGGAGCATCTAAGTCATACAATACAAAAACCATTGTAAGTAACAGAGCTGTAAAACAGACGCAAAGTTCTAAAAACAGTGCTTTCTTTACAGTTCTTTTAATGGGTGAACGCTTTGGCCAGAGAATTTTAACTCTGAGGATCACGCAAGCCTTTGCTTAAGATGCACAATTAGATCCTCTGATGTTTCACAGGCCATGTGCTACAAGATTTACCTGTTCTACTTTCTAAAAGTGTTCCCATCAAGTAGTCATTATGAAGGGATCCATCTGATGACACTATCCCAAAAAATCAAAACATGTTCAACCATTGCTAATGACAGAGGTAGAGAAAATTCTGTCTTCTGCCACAGCTTGCACCCCCATTTTTAGCATTGTGTTGAGTGGGTTCCAGCAGTGAAGACACATGCACTTTCTTTTCCACCAGCTTGCTCATGGAAACAAATTTGTTCCAGCATGCTCTTGTAGTCTGAAAACATCCAGCAGCTGCTTCAGTCGGTCAAAGTCGGATGTCAGCTTTCTTGCTTTGCTGCCTCCCCTTGGGCCTCCCCAGTTTGCTCACTTGGATTTCGTTGCGCATCTCCTTCTCCTTCTATAACAGACAAGAAAAGGACGAGTGATCCACCCTAAACCAAAAAGGTCTTCCTCCCAGAACCCCAACTGTTCAGCCACCAGTCTCAAAGTAAAGAGAAACTGAAATCTTGCATTAAATATGAAAACTTTTACTAAGATAGCCATACTTTGCATCTCAAGAGAGACCTTCAAAAACAAATTCCTAGCTGCAATCATCACTATCATTTTAAGTACAGACCCTAAAGTAGCCATAAGAATTTAACAAAAATATTGGGGCATTTTTGACAATTTCTTCATTATGATATTATGATAATGTAAGAGAAAAAAGCCTCATTACACCAAGTCTGAACAGAGTTTACTATATAAAGAGACACAACTTCAGCAAAAGCAATAGTTTATTAAAGCTGCTTGCTCTGTGTGTCCATTTTCAGTACCATACCCCACAGCATTCAGTCCAGCTGTCTTGCTGCAAACCACAGAACCATCTGAGGAAAAGAAAACATCTTACAGTGGCACATGAGCAGACAACCCATGAAGCCTGTCTAAAGAAGGCTAAGTAGTGCACTGAAAATGTTCTATTAGTACCTATATGCAAAATACTGTATTTCACTTAATGGTTAAAGACCTAAAAGGTTCAGGCAGGTGGAAGGTTCAGGCAGGTGGAAGCTAAGTGCAAGTGAGACAGAAGTCCCTAAACATTGGACCTATTAGCTATAGGTACATAATAAGGAATAGAGTTAGGTAAGGAATAATGTTAGGTCATAAGCTGTCTCTTGTATCTTGCAAGGATTCAGAGTAATTTGTACTGAACTGGCTTGATACAGTAGTTAACAGAACAAGATTCCATAGACTAAGTTATAAAGGGACGTAGCAGTGCCTCTCACATGTAATCTATAGATCTTTAGAATATAATCGTTCTCAATAGAAAATGCTTATCGTTTCCCTATTTTAGATCACACTGTACATCTGCACCACAAACACTTTTTCTCTTCTATAAGAAAGAGCACATTGCTAATGGAAAAAAAAAAGTTCTTTGCATTTCAAAGAACACTGCAAAAGATCAGATGTGGCATCTGTGTTTGCTGCATGCACTAAGTATCGAGGTGGCAAAATGCCTCAAAAAGTACTGGCAATTATCAAATTCAACCTGATGAAAAGTTGTATGATAAACTGAGGTTTGTTCTGCTCATTATGGATTGAGTAATAAATAAAAATCTGGTTTGCAAGGCACCTTCTCAGTAAATTATTTCTGAGTTTTACCTCTGACAAGATTCCATCAGGAATGGATGGACATACAATTATTTCCTATTGGATGGAAATCCCTTTGGCCCAGGTTGTCCAAGCACTTTCTGCAAGGCCTACTACATTTTTTCTGATAGTGCAAATGCCCGGATGGGTGGAACCCGATTTTTTTTTTTTTTTTTATTCCTTTTTTACCTGCTCTGTACTCCATACTACTGGCAAGTCTTTAATATCCCTTGTACTCTCTGGGTGAGTCAAGGTTTCCAGCAAAGTATTTGTGTTTAAAAGAAAAATCATCCTGGACACAAAGCATTTCACTATCTAAACATTAAACATATTGCACAAAGATTCAGAGAAGGAGCACTAAGATTCTAACATACCACTTCTTGAAAAATTTTCTCAACTCACTGAAAAAACTCACTAGTCTAAATCCATTTAATGTATAATACACCGTCTTACAGACTTTGCCTTTCTGCTGGCAAAGCTTTCCTATCAAAGGCCTTAAAATACATTTGCAGATAATTTTGCTTACGAGTTACAAGAACCTCCAAGTTGCCTAAGCACACTCTTGAACTATTCTTCCTTCAAAACATGATGCCTATAAGCTCTTAAGAGTAAGAGCTGCAATTCTTGCACAGCATTTTGAAACCAACAGATAGTATTACATAACCCCAAACCAAATAATCTACTGTAAACCATAATACAGTTGTGTGAGTTGGTAAGCTAGCAACAGTTACTAGTTCTGCTAACATGCAGCTTTTAACTCATTTTTTTACCAGTGTTCCCAATGCTTACACTTAAAATATTTCTACCATGAACTAAAATTACTTCCAATCACAAATTTCTATGATCAGTCCTTCATTCCACTTCTCTGTGACTTCAAACACCTCCACTATCCCCAGGATTTTGGAGATGATTTGACCATCACAACTTCTACAGGGAAGTTTCTACTTCTGCACTGAATCTGTGTTCTAGGGCTTATCTGTAGACACCCTGCAAATCAGAAATTTGTTTTAGAGCTTAGTCTTGGGGAGACTGGTCCTCCTTCTTCATTGTACTTTTCCCTTACTACTTTCATTACTTCACAATGATCTGAATATGAAGTTTCTTGGAATTGCATTGGTTACCTTGAAAGAGCTTTCAGCAGGAGAGCTACCAGCTGATTTCCCTACTAAAATCTTTCTTCTGCCTTCTGATTTCTGTTGCTGTTTTCTACTTAACAGATGTACACAGTGTTGCTTTTACTGAATTTAGAGAAAATGCCTTGCCACTGAGTACCTAGCATCTGTGTTTTAAATTGCAGTAAATATGGCCATTCCATATATAATAGCAGGTGGTTTGCTTATTATGGACAAAAAACACTGGAACAGTTGTTTTGAAGGGAGAGTATAATACAATAATTACAGGTATTACACATAATTATGCAGTAAACTCTTGATTGTCATCATCTTACCAATGAGGAGATTAACCAGTACTCCAGGTATCAAATAGTGCATGATAGAAAATATGTGGTCTTTAAAGAAGGCCTCACTGCCTAGTGCTGATCAAAGCTGCTCCTGTTCTTTACAGGAAATGTATCTGCAGGCTTTTCAGAGTGAATGTACTAAATATGCTTGGGTAGTTAATTTACATACGTTCTATAATAACCTTTTTTTTTTTTTTTTAATCTGCATTATCCTACTCTTCCATTACTCCATGTAGTTGAAAGCAAATGTACTCGCAGTTTTACAAGAGAAGGCATACAGCTGCAATAAGAGACAAAAGAATTGAAACTTGATGTCTACGTTTGTATCGTTAGATAGCACTTAGCATAAACTGTTTGACATGCAACTTGAAATAAGTTAAGACACAACCCCTAGACAACCCCTAGACATGTTTTCCCCTTAATCCTGTCAGGTGTGAGGCATACATACATCCCACAAGCACTCGTATATTCTGAACTGGAATATGGGATGCAAAATATTTTGTAGCCTCTCTTTGGTTTGGAGAGACATGATGGGATAATGCACTACTACAAATGATAATACAACATGTTTTCCAATATTTGTGATTCAGAGGCTTTTATCCAGCACCTAGCTGTACTAACAATACAAACTTTATTTTCACTGTTTCCAGTTCAAACTGCATAACCTCCTGAAGCAGCATGCAGGCATCTTTGTGCATCTACTACCTAAGGCAATTTTATGAGCAACTCTGTACACTTTTCTGCAATAATTACCCAAGCTGCAAAAGAGGTCTCCAAGAAAAACTAAACTCCTGACTTATATATTAAAAATGAAGCTAACAGTTCCTTAAGCCATTATCATCACTACAGAGCTAACAGCACGCACAAAATGCATACCAACATATTACAGGCACAAAGTCACATTGTTTTTATATCTCACAAAAGTACACAGTTCTGGCTTACAATCACTCCAGCAGCTTAACTTAAAAATAGGGATTGTTTGTATCTTCTAAATGTACAAGATCAAAGACAATTTTGATAAATGCACATCTGAGACTGAAGAAAATTGAAGCAAGAAGGAAGGTTGGCATTATGCATTTCAAATGCCACCTACTTTCTATTTTTCCAACATTTTACACTTATCCCCACATTAAAATAAATAGACACACCTACACACATACTAATAAAGCTTTTCTTTTTTAATACAAAAAGAAAAAAAATTAAAGGCCTGTCCCATCTAGAACTGCATGCATCTAGAAGCTACAAGCCGCAAACTGGTTAACTGCAGAAGGAATAACTTAGTATGTACATTAGTCTTAAAGCCAAAAAAAAAAAATACTGCCCTCCAAACAGCACTATAGCCACCCATCTGACTGTCCAGCAATGACAATGCCCCTCAGAACTTCTGCTGTTGTCTCTGAGAAGTATACGTGCACAAAACTGTCAGCTGCTTATCAACAGTTTGTTCTTTGCCACTATACTGGTTCGCATGGCAAGGGTTTGGTGGCAGGATGGTTGCAGGGGTGGCTTCTGTGAGAAGCAGCCAGAGGCTCCCCCTACGTCACACAGGACCAATGCCAGCCGCTCCTAGATGGAACTGTCACTGGCCGAGGCTGAGCCCATTAGTGATGGTGGGATAACTAATTTAAGAAGGGGGGGGAAAGTTACTGTGCAAGAGCAGTTGCAGCTGGAGAGAGGAGTAAGAATACATGAGAGAACCAGCTCTGCAGGCACCAAGGCCAGTAAAGGAGGAGGGGAGGAGGTGCTCCCAGCACCGGAGCAGGGATTCCCCTACAGCCCATGGTAAGGCAGGCTGTGCCCCTGCAGCCCACGGAGCAGGCTTGCTGGCAGGACTTGTGACCACACAGGGGACCCACACTGGAGCAGTTCGTGAAGAACTGCAGCGTGTGGGAAGGATTCATGTTGAAAAAGTTCACGAAGGACTGTCTCCTGTGGGAGGACTCCATGCTGGAGCAGAGGAAAAGTGTGAGGAGCCATCCTCCTGAGGAGGACGGAGCAACAGAGATAAAGTATGATGAACTGACCACAACTGCTATTTCCCTGCACCACTGGGGGGAAAGAGGTGGAGAATATCAGGAGTGAAGTTGAGCCTGGGAAGAAGGAAGGGATGAGGAGAAAGTGTTTTAAGATTTGGTTTTATTTCTTATGGCCCTACTCTGATTTGATTTGGCAGTAGGTTAAATTCATTTTCCCCCAGTTGAATGTTTTGCCTGTGATGGTTATTGGCAAGTGATCCCTTCCTGTCCTTATCTCAACCCATGAAGCTTTTTGTTATATTTTCTCTCCCCTGTCCAGCTGAGGAGACCAACAGAGCAGCTCTGGTGGGTACCAGGCATCCAGCCAGGGTCAACCCACCATAGCCACATTAGTTTTCTTCTGCTATTATTGAAGTGAGCATAAGATGTCTTTCCTAAGATCTGAAAAGAGCTTTCAAATATATATAAGATGCATTCATTAACCCCCACCCACATAACATGAAAATAATTGCATAGCCATATTACTATTTTTATATAATTTTTCTTTAAGGCCCTTCAGCATACACTGTTTCTCCTTCCTGTCAGCTGAGGGTACACAACCAGCTAAAAATTTTGGTAATATCAGAGGTGAAATAAGGTTTAGGGTTGCATTAGTACTAATCACCTTAAAAGAAGGACAAAGGATCAGCAGAAAGGGGAAAAAAGACAATTTACCCAGGAACAAAGATCCAAGTAAAACAAGTAACAGTGCAGTGCTATTGCTCTGTCCTTTGGCAGCTGAAAACAAAATCAGTCTACACAATAACCTTTCAAGCAGATACATGGCTTCTCCTAAAGGTTTCAAACCAGAGAGCTTCCACTGAAGGATATCATGATGAGTTGCGTCTTAATAAAAACTTCTGTATACTCAATTTTCCATGAAATTTATCCTCATATGGACCCTACTACTAGGCACTCACTGCAGAATGACTTTTATTTCAGTCATATGTTGTACTTGCAAATAGCCTCCCTTCCCATTTATGACATCTGAGCTTCTTATTGCAAGCAACCCCTGCTGATCAGAAAAAAACATTTTTGTTGCAAAATTACATTTGTAATTTTACTTTTAAATAAATATAACAGAAGACCAAGATGTACTCACCCGTTTTGTTTATATCAAGCTCTGATAACTTTAAGGCTAGTTCACTAGAGTTCCCACCCGGAGAGGACACAAGTATGTCATGTAATGCATTTCTTCTACCAGTTCTTCCTGAAGCAATAAAGTCTGCATATGTAGATTCCACATCAGTCATTGCTAACAAATATCCACATAGCAGTACCTGGAACAAAGGAAAAAAAGAGACAAGAACTTCTACCACCAGAAAAACACCTGACATTATGGAATAGGAACAGAAAACTAAAGGGTTCTCATTGTGAAGTAGATTGGCTAACAGTAAGCAGCAAAAGATGCCCCAGCCTTAAAATTTGGAGAAATTGGAGGAGAAATAGAGTAGAAAGCAAAAAGTGTGTGGATTTTTATGCAACCTGTATTCAACAGTATTTTAAACAACTTCATTTTTCATATTTCATAATGTGCGAGTGAGTACTTTATAAAAGCAATGACCTCAGCAACATAATTTCTTTATAGAGCTGTCTCTGCTTTTAATATTAGCTGAGAAGTAGGAGGTAGGTAGGGGGTGGAACAAAGTTCTTTTCTGCACTAAAAACAGAGCGTAAGGAGTAATAAAGTACAAATCGATAATGCTTTTGCACGCAGAACACTGTTCTCATACACAGGCACAGCTTTGTGTATTTTCCTTTCTGTTAGTATGATTAGTTTTGGCATTGCATATAGACCTCTTCAGACTCAACTACGTTATTCTGGCGTGGTAGTTGCACCAAAGCAAATGAATGTATTACCATAACATCACTGAAATGAATGGAGACAGGCTAACAGAGCAAGCAGAACAGCTAAATTGTAATGCACAGGTTACAAAACAGGACTCTGTAAGCTACATACAAACTTGGAACTTATTTTCACTATAAAAATATTTCTCATGTTTTATCGGAATAACATGACAACATGCGTTAATGTAGGATTTGCCAAAGATACAAGAAAAATCCTTTTTCAGCCTCAGTAAGAGAACTATTTGAATCCCTGCTGGAGTCTGCTATAGATCTAACCTGTTCAGGCATTTTTAAATTTTTCTTTATTTATAGAATTGGAACCAGAGACCAAGGGGTGGGGAGCCACTTTCTCTTGGTGTTCACATTACTTTTACTCTGGTTGAATTTGCACTCATCTAAGGCTTCCTGCAAAAATCTAGACTACCCTGCTTCAAATGTAGCTTCCCTCACATTTTGTGTTTGGATGAAGTCGAGAAATAAGGGAAACCTTTTCCTAGAGCACTACTCCAAATAAAAGAACCACTAGTGAAGCACAAAACAAAACTAGCACCCCCACAGTTGCATGCTTCCTTTATTTCTAAGCAGCAATTGTGTGGTTTTGAATACTGCAGAGAGAGGACGTGGCCGTAAGGGCAGCATTGCAGAGCTGTATGCAGTGAGAGGCTTTAGCTATTATTACTGAAGTTTCACATTTGCATAGAATGTACAAATCTTTTTAATCAGTTCCTACTGCTATTGCTGGGCACTGAATAAGCTCCTAAAGTCATCAAAAACACTAACAGCAGCAAGAGATACAGGTTTCTCTAAGGAAAAAAAAAAACAAAAATACAAACCAAAACTAATTTTTTTTTATAAACACATTTTTATCTTGAAAACGGATGCATAAAAAGACAACAGGCAACCCTTCCCCACCCGTACGCCTCTCAAATAACTTCACAAATCCTGTCCATTCTTCATCTTCATTCTAGTCCCCCCCTCCCCAACTTCTATTAGCTGTATGAGGATGCAAATAATGATGTATCTGAGAAGCCAAGAAAAGGGTTCCACACCATATTTTATTTAGTCTAAACATAACTATACCAAGTACCATTGTATGACTGACAGACTTAAGTTCATTCCTATCAAGCTTTGGTGTCCCATGCCAAATACTGAACGGCTGACAGGATAATTCTACTCCTATGAACAACCACTATAAACCAGGAAATTGTTTAAATTCCTTCACACGAACCAGAAAACAACCTACAAAACCTAACAAATACCTACAGCATGGAAAGAGGTCAGCATCAACTGAAAGCCTGCCTGACACACACAAAATAGCATAGCGCATCTCAATTAACAAATGCTTTCATGAGCATGACAGCATGTACATTTCTTCCATGAAGTGCCCTCTTCTTGAAACTCTGTAAGAATATTGAAGCAAATGAGGAATAAGAAGCCTACCATTTGTTCTTTGCCCAAGGTGAAACATCACGATGCCAAAGGTGAAGGGAAAGAGCAAGGACAGTCATGATAAGGTAAGAAAATAACACAAGCTTTTCAGACTTATCTGACCTGTTCACTAAAGAATAACATCCAGCAACATCAGAAAATAAAAGATTCTTAGTGAAAATTCCAAGAGTTACATTTGTTCATGGCTGTTATTGCAACTGGCCTGTAGAAAAGAAAGTGCAAAACCTCAAAAAAAAAAAAAAAAAAAGCATTAGTGCAGCACCAGCCCAAAGTCATCATAGCGATCACACCTGTAAAGACATTAGTTCCTTCACAGCTCAGAAAAAAAAAATGCCAGAGAAGAATATTCTTTTGCTACTTTGGATGCTGCATATTAGCGCATCAGGAACCAAATAAGCAGAGACGACTACGGCTGAGGTAGGACAAACTATAAGGCTGTGAGGCTGGCAAAGTAAGCAATGTTGTACTCCGTGAGCAACTCCCTGGACTATACAGGTTGCACTGCACAGAATACCCTTCTGTAAGATTACATTGTTCTTGAAACATTCCATAACACACGGAGAAAATGCCAGGGAAATCTCAAGCTTATTTAATTTTAGCTATGAAACAAGGAAAATGTGCTTGTGGAGAACTTTATTTTAAATCTTCATTTTCTATAGGCTAAATATGGCATTACTATAACAACAATCTGATCAAAAAAGAATGTTACCAAACATACATTTATTAACACTTCCAAGTCTTCCAGTCTGCGTCTTCTTCTAAATATCAAACACCATTCTATTTTGTATTGGCATTATCTTCAGACATTACTGCATAAATACGGAACTTCACTGATATCACCCAAGAGCTCCCCTTCCAACGTATGGCTCAGTGCCCAGCAGTCTGTACTTATCCACTGAACCAGTCATTAAGGAATTACCATTCACTCAAAAAACTTTTTTTTCCTTCAGTCTCTCTGGAAGGAATGGAATTCCCTAATAATCCCGTGAAATATAATTTGAATTGCTTAACTAATTCCATTAACAGATATGTTAAGAATTGGGGTCACAGTCAGCTTATTTAGTTATTTTTTAAGTTGCAAAACCAGTATATGTGCAAAACTCTGCTATATGGTATTCAGCTGAAACAAGAAAGCTGCAAACCTCACCGTTCCTGCCAACTGAACCAGCAAAGCAGTTCTGTGAGCATAAAGACCAATGAAACCTGCTGTTGGAGGACTGGATTCCTTGGTAACTGATCAGATACTATCCCCTTTTATGTCTCTCAGAGCTGTGCTTTGTCTTCCTCCCCCACATAGAGTCAACTTAGCCTGGTAATGAGTTTGCAATACAGGTCTGTGTATTTTCATATGGCATCTTTCCTTTCCTCAGGTTCTTAGTTTCATAACTACTAGAAATGTATGGGTATCAGACTTCCACCTCTTTTGCTTCCCAACTCCTTCCTCCCAAAGAAAGCTGTGCTGAAAATTACTGGAAAGCATTTAAAGAATTATGAAGGATGAGTAAGGTAGGTAGGCATGGTTGCTATCTTAGATTTTAACCAGTGTAACAAGACATCTCTGAATTATTAATGAATATTCTGGATAACATACTGCTACACCTGCAAAAGGCCTACTTCTATATCTTATGCAAATGAACAGATTTTATAGGTAAGCATTATAAGGAGTAGAATTAATATCCAGAGAATGCAGGAGAAGAAAACAGGGATGACAAGAATCATATAATTTATTATGTACAGAACAAGTCAGTATTTGTGATTTCAGAAAGTTCCCAAAATGCTTCTTGATCTCCACAATTTAGTTTCTGTGCTAAATTTCCCATTTCTATGCTATATATAACAAATCATAACCCCAAGTTTCTGAACTGTCAAATTTCTACAGCTGTTTTCCTCCTTTTATGTACTCCGGTTTTATTGAAAGTACTCTTAAAATAAACCCCTAAAAAGTTAGTGATGACTTCACAAATGAAAACCCAGTTTGACTGTGTTCCATAATCATTCAGTGAAGCCAGGTGTTATAGTGTCATTGTCCTCGAGAGTCTGGAAGTGGGAGTACAGAAGTTATGTTGGCATACCAGCATGAATTAAAAGTAAGTGCTGTTTAAGGGACTGTTTAGCCTGTTTAAGGGACTAGCTACTTAAAAGAAACCCAAACGCCTTTAAAGTACCCTCATTAATCAGTATTTATCATTTTAAAAGGAAGACAGAATAAGAATGTGCCCTGGACATATGACTTGTCTATGGGATTCGGCTTATGTTGCTGGCACAGGAGAGGTGCCATTTTCTTGGTAACATGCAGTGTAAGACTAAGAGATGCTACCCCTCAATATCTACTCCCCCTCTTCTCCATATATGCTTAATGGTGGCACTGAATACGGAATTTTTTAAAATAAAACTCTCCTAGGCTTTGGCTGCTAAACGTTGTATCACGATCAGCACATTATTTAAATATAATTACCCATATTCAGCTTTCATAAGGGAAGAAAAAAAAATAGAACTTGTCATTTAATAACATGTCTGTTTTAGAGGTGGTGTGTAATTATGCTTTTAAAATACACTTGGGTTCCAAGTGTAGCCTTGGCTTAGAGACAGGGCTCTTTCCAGTGAGGCAATAGCTCAGTTCCACAGCAGCCTGTTCCTAGATTCCTACCTCATGCATGCATAGCCTGCTATGTTGAAAGCAGAAACATAGGAACAATTTAACAAAGGGATATTTTTCCACAGGAAATGGTATCTATTGTGCTTTACAACAGTACTGCTTTTGCACAGACACAGATAAGAAGAAAATAGCATTAACTCTTGAAAACCAATTAAAGGAAATGTAAATGTCCATGCCAGCCAGTGAGCTAGACAGTATTTTAATCTGCACTTTGAAAATCCCTTATGTAGTTTTGTCTGCCTGATGTTTCTGAAGTGATCGCTTCTACAAAATAGTGATATAGAACAGGTTACTTACCTTTTTGACAGTTAATATATCTGTTTTCTGTGAATCTAGTACATGCAGTACTCCTAGTACTAATAAGATCTTAATGGAAATTAGTAGCCAATTCAACTGGTTAAAAAACCAAAACAGAACAAACAAAATGAGTATCTGAGATTTACTCTTTTTTAACTAGAAAAAAATTAAGAAGCTGTTTTAAATTGCATTAAAAAAGCACTATGAAGTTGGATATCCTTCAGCTTACAGCCTGTACAAAGAGATCATCTGCTAAGACAGGTTTTCCTTCTGCATTATCTAAATTATATTTTACCTAAAGAGATCTACAGAACTAAAAGCCAAGTAGTTAAATTGTCACTGTGTCCTTGCTCAGGCAAATGCCATTATGCCCGTGCCCATGAGGATTTATTTTCACATCTACAACTTAATTTCAGTTCACAAATTCAGTTTTACCTTCCACTATGGCGTAAAAACGGGCAGTGACATAACACCAGTAAACAAAACAAAAAAAACTAACCAACCAAAAAAAAAAAACAAACCCACCTAAAAAAAAAAACCCACCTAATCAATGAGGCAATACTACAGAAACTTTGGTTCTTTGGAAAGATACAGCACACAGGCAGTCATTCCCACTGATCAGTAGTGAGATTATTGGCAGTAATTATAAACACTAAGTGCTTTGATATTTTGAAATGAATACCAGGAGGAAACAAATCACAACATTTAAGTATCCACATGGGCACTCTATGTTAGGCAATGGAAGAGAGTGAATTATCATCTACCATGTCTAGTCACTGCTCGACCTAAAAAGAATGGCAAACAAAATGTGCTTTCAAAGAGGCATCTATTGCTGTGTGACTTTTTTAGCTGCAGCAGGTGAACAGACCTCCAGGCTTCTGAAAGGAAGAAGGAAGTTAAAGTATCACTTTTCGGGACGCTCCAGTACTCTCTGTGAGCAACTAAATCCATTGCTATAGCATGTCATAACCATAATGATGGATTAGGCCCTCAAGCAAGATGGAAGCTATCAAGCTGCCCATGCGACACACAACTAGCAGTCCTGCAGAGCATTCCCACATCCCTCTAAGTTGTGGGGAGGTTGATGTCACAGGTTTCTGGAAAGACGAAGGCAGGTATGCAGCACTGCAGTTTATTTGTTTAGAAAGGTATGATGCTCTAACCCAAAGAGCAGGGTTTACACAATACTGAACAAGTACAATGTTTTGTTCAAAAGGGATGGTTTCAGCCTTTGGGGAAAGTCTGTCCACTGGGACCTCTATAAGGCAATCCAGCAGCACATCTCTTCAAGCAAAGAGATTTCAGAGAGGCAAGCCCGCAGAAGAGTATCACGACACAAAATATACCTCTTGACAGGAAAGAGGAATTCTCCCTCAACTGCTGGGTTACTGGAAAGGCCCAGTCTATTGAGGACTCACAACGGACCGACAGCTTAGGAATGATTTATGCAAAGAGAAAAGACTTTCTGCAGAAATGTAAAAGTAGATGTCTGCTTAGCATTAGGATGTCTAGAAAAGGCAAAGTTGTGTAGGCTTTGCTCATGAAGCATCTTTGTATCTTTCTAACCCTGCCCTTAATTCAGGATTCATGCTATAGGCAAGTTCATTCTCTCAGGAACTTCCATCAACAAGTACCAGCCTGCACAGTCAGCACTTTAAAGGTATTTATCAACACAATACTCATTAGAAAACATAGCTGAGTCTCTCATACCTATTCTTAATAGAACTAATGAGCACTATAGAGGCTATTTTTGTAACAATGTCTCCTCTATTCACTGCTACGTACACTACCATTTATATGGCTTAATGTGGGAAAAAAAAAAGAACAAATCATTAACAGCCGTAAGTAACCTACAAGCGCTTTGGGCCAAACTGTTAGGAGCCACTGTAATCCTTACAGACAACTTTTAGCTGAAAAAACCCTTACACATTTAGCCAATTTGTGACTGAAGGTCTGACAGCAAACAGTTCCCTGAATTACTTGCAGACTAGTATGAGCCATGTAAACAATCAGTGGTACAAAGGCAATAATGTGGAAACCACTCAGATAGAGGGTTTTCTACCAAGCATATCTCCAATTTTTGGCAGAAGATTAATGCTATGAAAGGGGCCACGAATGAGATTCACGCCTGTGTACACATACATAGGTAGTACCTGTAAGAGGTGATTCATCTGATCGATATTGAGCATTAATTATAGAATGAATGCAACAAGCACCTTCAATGTGCTTACCTCTTCCTACTGAA